GCTGAGGTGACGTTTGGATGACGTCCTTTTGGGAGAAGCCCTCCGGAGATTGGTTGGCTTCTTGATGACGCGGAGGCTTCAGCAGTTTTGCTACAGTCTGAGTTTGCAAGATGTTAAGTTCTTTGAAGATCGTGTTTCTCTGAAGTGTTTGAGTTTTAGATGACCGATCGCTTTGATGGTAAGCGTGTGAGCACAAGATGGAGTGCTCTTAACACGGCGAAAGGCGAAGAAGCAAGCCAGCAAATCTGTTCTGCATTGGGTTTTGATCCGCTGCATAAGTCCGTCCCACGACGCGATCTTCCAATCGGCTTCTTGCAAGGCGGAGCGTGCATACATTAACAAGAGGCTCCAATTTATTATGAGGACACCTATAATAATATGTTAATATGTCTATAAAGTCTCTTAAATGCAAATATTGTACATACAAATAAAGTTTACTTCATTTCATCATTCTGCATTTGTCGTGCCTATTCGGTCAAGATTAAACTTCACATATTACACACATTTTAATAACCTTATTTCCTAATAAACACTGTAAACACTGATTAAATTTGCACCGATTACATGAACACATCAAGCATATATATATATATATAACATATTATTGAATCTATTGCTCCGATACTTTCAATGATTTTCAATGATTGTCCGTGTACGTTTCTTTGTCTGTGACAGGAGAAACGCATGCTTTTCTGGAAGGTAGTAAAAGGATGCGTCCCTTTTTTTTGGAATGCAGGGGGGAAAGGGGAGGTGTCCTGAGGTCATGCCCATGTCACGAGTTGGGAGTCTGCCATTCTTCTCCTGGACAGAGAGCTCTTAATCTGTCACTTTCTGTTTATCGGATTTAGCAATTTACGTGTTAAATGGTCAGGGGTATCACGCATCTGGTCCTTGAAAGCCCGTAAAACAAAGATAGTTTTGTATCCTAGTTTGAGTTAGGGTTTAAGCACTGTTTTTTATTTGAGTCTCTTGAGACGATACGCTAGATAGTACAGGAACTGCTTCAACACTTCACTGACCCTGCATGAGTTTTACGACCGCAGCTGGTTGCATAGGGGTTCCTCAGTTTGTCTCAATGGAATGTGATTGTTTCATGTGTGAATCAATAGTGTAAGTGGGTCCGTTCGAAGACAGAGATCCTACAGCTTTTATTTTGGTGGTTTGCCAGCAAATAAATAAATGCGCTGCAATGCATGTTTCAGAGTGAAGTGCTGCGTGTCATGGGCTGCACTCGAACACATTACCCATTTCACTCTGAAAACTGCAGCGCATTGGTATTTTTATATTAAATCGCAACCTTCGCGATATGACTATGGCATTAAGCTATAATGCGATATCGATTATATTTCGATATATAGTGCACCCCTAATTAAAATAATATTACAAAAAAAAAAAAAACATTTGGGCACCCCTATGGATGGACGGCACCCCTAGCATTTGCCTATTTTGCCTATGCGACGGGCCGGCCCTGCCTTCAGCCGCTCCAGCAACGGACGCAACTCGGGAAAAACTATTGGCATGGATTTTTGCTGATAGTTCCGGCAGTCAACTATTGGTGCCGATTAATCGGCAAAACCGATACATTGGTCAACCTCTAGTATGTATGTGTGTGTGTGTGTAGCCTAATATATATATATATATATATAAGAATATTACTCCTCCCTTACTAGTAATAGGTAATATACTTTATGTATTACTTGCTTCTACACTGAACAAAATTATAAACGCAACACTTTTGTTTTTGCCCCCATTTTTCATGAGCTGAACTCAAAGATCTAAGACTTTTTCTATGTACACAAAAGGCCTATTTCTCTCAAATATTGTTCACAAATCTGTCTAAATCTGTGTTAGTGAGCACTTCTCCTTTGCCGAGATAATCCATCCACCTCACAGGTGTGGCATATCAAGATGCTGATTAGACAGCATGATTATTGCACAGGTGTGCCTTAGGCTGGTCGCAATAAGAGGCCACTCTAAAATGTGCAGTTTTACTGTACTGGGGGTCCGGTCAGTATCCAGTCAGTATCTGGTGTGACCACCATTTGCCTCACGTAGTGCAACACATCTCTTCCGCATAGAGTTGATCAGGTTGTTGATTGTGGCCTGTGGAATGTTGGTCCACTCCTCTTCAATGGCTGTGCGAAGTTGCTGGATATTGGCAGGAACTGGAACACGTTGTCGTATACGCCGATCCAGAGCATCCCAAACATGCTCAATGGGTGACATGTCCGGTGAGTATGCTGGCCATGCAAGAACTGGGATGTTTTCAGCTTCCAGGATGTGAACAATATTTGAGAGAAATAGGCCTTTTGTGTACATAGAAAAAGTCTTAGATCTTTGAGTTCAGCTCATGAAAAATGGGGGCAAAAACAAAAGTGTTGTGTTTATAATTTTGTTCAGTGTATGACTATCCTAACTATGCACAAGCATAGAAGCATTTTATTATTTGCATTTAGTGTTATTTTTCCCCTGCTCTCTGAAACCCTGTCAGAACAGATGTGCGCCCTATTTTTGGGTTGCGACCCACCAGTTCAGATACACTGATTTAAAATATGATTTAAAATATGTTGTGTTGAATTCTTCCTAAAAAGTTTTACGGAGAAAAAAAAACAGCCGAGATGGGTTTAGGTAGAATGTTAATGCTAAAGTATTGTGGTGTATAAGAGGTTGAAGCAGGCAGATCTCAGTGTCCTGCAGCAGTCTGATTGTCTGACGCCATGGAATTTCCATTCAGATCACTTCACTCATGCATTGCTGTTTACGACAACTTTGTGTTCCTTAAGAAGAGAACCACGTTCAAAAGGCTCTGACTAGGTGTGTTACATTTTACACTGTTCACATTCATTTGCATAAATGATATTGAAAATAGTTGTCATAAGTCATATTCTGTTTTTATTTGCTTAATTTACTTAAAATCATATGAACATTACTAAAATAAAACTGTGACACAGTATTTAACAATATTATTCTGGTTTTGAAAGCATTTTGATATTGAGCTGTTCTCATATTCATTAACCTCATGTTAAGTGCCTGAAGTTTAACCTCGTTTAGGCATATCTGCAGTAGTGGACAATGTTCCCAGCCATGGCCTTGCAGTTGCTAATTATGATAATAATATGGCAAATGCTAGTGGGTCACTGCTAGTTCCCTGGAGGGGAGCAGGAACAATTGGTCAGAGCTGGTAATTTTAGGTGGCAACACGAAGGGTACCAAAGTCCCTTTAAGGCTAGTCAGTTCACTCGGCAGCCATAATTGTAACACCCCCAGACAGCTATTTCCAGCCATGCAAGTATAGCTCCTATTTATCTCCTTGAATGGAAAAAAGACAAAATCAGTGTAACTGTTTGTCGACCTGGTATTTAATACCATATTTGAAATCAGAAATACAATCTAACAAAAATGATATAAATTGTGATTCTTTATCAAAAATGGCAAAAATTCCTTCTGAAACTGTTGCTTTTGGTGACATGAATAAGTATAGCATTTAAATTGAGGATTTGATATATATTTATGTGGCCAAGTGTAAACGCTTTTAACAGATCGGATAGCTATCTGATCAGTAAAAATGCGTGAAGTGGCCAAGTGTAAATAGGCCCAAACTAATTATTGGCTTTGAAAAGCGGGACTCAGTCAAATTCATCTTTAATATGGTTTATTTTGTTGTTGTTTTTTTGGCCAATGAATCACACTCAAAATACAAGTGTATGGAGTGGACAGAGTTTGTAACCATAACTGTACAAAAGCGCACAAAAAGAACATGGTGTGTCTAAAGGCCCGATTTACTTTTTTCGTTCTTCAATTAGAGGTAAAAAGAAGTTTTGAAAATGCTGCTGGAACCACTTTATACAATAGGTTGCTTTAAAGCAAGCAGCTTTACAGTATTAAACATGCAAAAACAGTGTCACTGTTGCCTTCAGTTAAAATTACAATATCCGTTTCTACTATAAAGCAGCTCTTTAGTGTGTTCATGTGTCAACATTTTCTAACAAAAAGTGCAATGTAACAAGTAGAAAAAAAAGAAAAATTCACAAATAATTGTTTGGAGATTTTTCCATCTACAGATTTTTCCCGGACCTTCTTTTCTCTGTAAATTAAGGGTGCACACTATTGCTAAAAAACACAATCACTACTTAGCACTCAGATACTACTCAGATAGTCAGGCTTCCCAAAGCCTCGGAATCGATTCTTTTTGGAATCAATTCCCAGCCCTAGCTACTGGCACTGGATTAATTACAATATGTAGTATTAACGTGATACCAATATTTCATTTTTTAATTATCACAGTTCTCGTTAATACTGGTATATTGCCCCCCCCCCACTAGACAAACAAAAACTAGAACTTTGTTCTTAAACCTTTATACTCTCTCTATTTCTTAAATATTCTATTTCTCTTTTTCCAGCTCTTTTTGTCCATTCAGTCCATCCATCCCGTTGAAAAGGTCATGAAAGCCCCCTCTTCCTAGTGTCACTGACCCCTGATGACCCACTGATCTTTGACGTGTGTTCCTGTCATCTTCAACCCTCTCCTGCTATGCAGCCATGAGCTCTGCGCTATGGAGCCAGGAGAAGTCAGCAGGCAGCTTCCGGGACGACTGGCGCTTCTACATTGTTGTAAAGGAGTGCACTGTGGAAAAGCCAGGCCAGAAGACTCTGCGCATCCCTCGTGGCAGCCTCGGCCAGGCCTGCCAGGAGCGCAACAGCCTTGGTCGCACAATCCCGCCCAGCAAGGGTAAGCGCAGCCTACGCATCCTGGACCAGACTAATGTGGTGGTTAGCGTGGATGAACGGGACGTTATGGAGCTTGAGGAGAAGCTGGCAGAGCTGCTGTTCCCCATCACCAACTGTGAAGAGCGCTACAGCCTGCTGTGCAACAGAGCACGTCTGGACAGGGCCCGCGACATCAACTGCGGATCAAAAGTTCGAGTGCAGTTGAGGTTCGGCGACCAGCCCCTTCCAGGCGTGGTCCGCTTTAAAGGAGCTTTGCTGCCCGACAGAGCACTGAGTGGTATCTGGTTTGGTGTTGAATTGCTGGTGAGCTACACTGTTTGTCTTGTTTGACGTTGTTTGTCTGGTTTTGGGTTCACCTGGTCCTTGAGCGTGTGATCATTACAGAACAAAGCTGCATTTGTCTCCGGGGCTTAGCTGGGAGATTTGGACGAACATAACCTAAGCCTGTAGGCTGCTTTTGTGGGTGAAGACCAGTCTCAAACCTGTCATCACACATCAACAATGCCTTTTGTTTTTATGGCACATACTTGATGTTATTTATGTGAGTTCTGATGTCTGTGTTGGTGAATGTAATGTCCTTTTCTCCTCTGTCTTTCAGGAGGAGGGCAGAGGTCAAGGTTTCACCGAGGGCTCTTATCAGGGTCAGCAGCTGTTTCGTTGTGAAGATGAATGCGGTGTCTTTGTTGCACTGGATAAACTTGAGCTCTGGGAAGATGATGAGCTGGAGGTAGATCGTGTGACGCTAGAGGATAATGACCCGGAAGTGGAAAGCGAAGGACCGCCACTGGAGATCAACTCTCGTGTGTTGGTGCAGACGCGGGAAGGCCCAGAACGGGGCACTGTTATTTTCTGTGACTTACTCCCTGGCAACGAGAGTCTTGGATACTACGTTGGTGTTGATATGGTAAATTGATTAGACTGTTGAGTTGGTGAATAGGTGACACAGTTGCGTGCTCTGGATGTTTAATATTACAGTTTTCATTAAGCAATGTATTTGTTCAGGCAGGTCAGATATTTAAGATGGTGCTTTTTAAGCAAAGTTTTTATTAAGAAAGCGTCAGGGATGCACAGATATACAAATTCTGGCTGATACGATGAGACAGTATTCATGTTTCATGTTTTGGCTGCTAATTCATTAATTCTATATAATTTTGTCTAAATAAATTCTTCCTGAGATTTGATAAAGATTACATTAAACAGTGTTATTAAATTATGAGTGTTTTTAAAGATTAACTTTAAGTGATGGTACCAATATATGGTGCATCTCTTGAAAATGCACTACTGTTCAAATGTTTAGGGTCATTAAGATATTTATAGAAATATTACTTCTATGTAGCATGGCCATATTAAATTTATAATGACATTTATAATGTTACTAAAGATTCAAAGTTTTTTGAACACCAAATCATCATATTAGAATGATTTCTGAAGGATCATGTGACACTGAAGACTGGAGTAATGACTGCTTAAAATACAGATATGTCATCACAGGAATAAATTACGTTTTAGAATATATTATAATAGAAAACAGTTATTTTAAGTTGTAATAATATTTCACAATATTACTTGTGCAGACGTTGTGAGCATAACTTTATAACATTAAAAACATGAAAACGTCTTTCATATCCCAAACTTTTGAATAGTAGTGTGTGTCAAAATCCCAAACTTTTGAATGGTAGTATATGTCAAAATAGTTGAGATGTTCACCTCCAGTGACATAGACGTCAGCGTGGAGGGCAGGATTGAAGGAGAGATGTAGAGACAGCTCAGTTTGCTCTGTGTGACCACCATAATGGCGTGCTGCCAAATGCTCACACAAGACACAACCAACACACGCCATTCCACTGTTCTCCTCTTTTCACCCTTTGTTTCTCTCTCTTCTGTTAAACTCTCACTGCCCTCTCAGCAGAGCTCAGCTGGACTTGCTATCACTTAGATCTAAATGGTGTAGATCTGGATAGGTTTAGGTTTTACTTGTATTTCAGGACAGTACATGTTTTGCTCTTGGTCTTTTGAGTAATAGGTTGTATAGATTAGATTTAAAATATATTTGGGTCTGTTTAGTAAGTTAATGCATGTATTATTAATAGAACTGTATTTGAATATACACTAAGGAGATTTGATGAAAGGCTATACATTAGAAATAGATTAAAACAGATAACAGTGGAGATCTGGCATGTAAAGGGTGTGGGTTTAGAGTTCAGAGACATCGGTCGTTCTGATTATAGTGTAGGTTGTGTAGTGTAGCCATTAGAGAATTACAGCTCTCAGTTAGTGAGATGGGTCCTGTCTGGGTCAGAACAAGAACGTATATGAAGATTTCCATTAGGAGATAGAGAAAGGCCAACCTTTGTTTGGGACGTGTTTATTTTGAAGTGTTGTAGATGCAAGCATTTATGAGATGATCTAGGTCAGGTGCAGTAATAGGGTGCTGTACCTCTCGCCCTCAGGACAATCCCATTGGAGACTGGGATGGGATCATCGACGGCAAACAGCTGTGTAATTTTGCTAGTCTTGAACACACCCGTCTCGTCCCCATCTGTGATGTGATGCCAGGTAAGGGCTCTCACTTCATAAGTATTTGTGAGACGTGGGTATTCAATTTTTGTTCTGGCTTTGAGTGTGATTACTGCTAGAAACCTGGTGTTAGTTGCACTGTTTGTTTCTAGATTGAGCTTTAGCACCTTCGATTCAAAGTACAAGTAACTTGGTTATTACAAAAGATTATAAAAATCATAGGAAACGGTTTTATAAAATATAAAAGAATTTAAATTTAGAGTTAAAAAAATTAAATACATTAATTGCATTTATTTAAAATATATATACAGTTTTATTTAAAACAAATTGTAAATAAATTGCTTTTCCATTGAGTTACTGATCATAGATTGTACATATTTCTTTGTGTGTTTTAGACTTCAAGTCAGGGTGTAGGCTAAATATTTGTTGTCAGAAAGCAAAGAGCTCTACTGTGTGTGTGTGTGTGTGTGTGTGTGTGTGTGTGTGTGTGAGTCATGTTAACATGCAGGAAACAGAAGCTCTTTTGTCTAAAGGCCTGTTTTTGTGAGTGGAGTGTGTGGAGCTCTCTTTGTTCCCTCTATTTATTGATTTGTTTGTTTGTGTGCATGTGTATGTGTGTGTGGGGGGCAAAACGTCTTGTCTTGGTTAATGTCTTAAAGCTACCGCTCTTCCTTAATTTATCTGTGAAATGAAAGGAATCTGTATATGTGGTCATCAGGGTGTAACCTGCTGCTTTATGTGTGATGCTGTTTATGATATTACCAAAATCATATGTCAAAGTATTAGTATGTTGTATCACAGAAAATGTATGTCATGTTATATTTGTTGGAAGTTTTACCCACATTTTTTAAAATCTTTTTTATAATTATAAAGTAGTACCTGTTGTTTGAAAAAAATTAATAAAAATTATTTGGAACTCGCACCAAAAAAATCTGATTATTAAATTGTCAGTGTTATTGGACAAATCCATACAATACAATGACCTTGAAATCGATATTTAAGCTGAAAAGAAAAAAGAAAATCTCCTTTGGCCCATGTAAGAAAGAGAATCTTAAGGATTTTGCACAACATGAGTAAATTATGATTTTTTTTTTAGGCAAGCTTTTTGCTCGTATGTATTTATTTATTTATTTATTTATTTATTTAGTAATTTATTAGACGCTTTTATCCAAAGCGACTTACAAATGAGGACAACAGAAGCAATCAATTGTAGTATTAAAACAACTAAAAACAGATCCAAAACTAAAAGCTAAAACTTTATAAATACTAACTTACCTATACCCATTTTAAAAATAAAGAGATTAAATAAAAGTGACAAATGAACTGAAACAGAAGCGAAACAAGTAATACAAGTAATAGTAATAGTAATAGTAAAACAATAGTTGTATTGAAACCTGTGTGTATATAATTGTTTGCAGAATACTCCATGCAGGATCAGAGGCTGCCCAAAGTCTTTGCCTGCAGGGGCGGCAGTGACAAACCTGGCAGCCAGAGCAAACCAAAGAGTAAAGGTATTAATCCTGTAATATCTATATACAGTTGCTGGAAATAAGTTTACAACACCAAAAATGTTACGATACCAATGGAATTTCACTATTTCAATAAAAGATCTCAAGTAATTATTGAAAAAAGTAAACAGTCAATGACAAAAGATATTCAGTCAAGAGCAGTGAGTGATTTTTCTCTTTTTCTTTTGTTGTTTTATTAACACTAACAGCATAAACTGCAGCAGCAGGTATATTAAGATAATGTCACTTCAGTCCTAATATACAGATACAATATATTATTGATACACATGCGTTTTTTTTTACTCTTTACGTTCACTTAAGACATAACAAACTGTGTTTATGTGAATACTCTCCAAGATGGACATTTGATGTATCTTGTGAGTATTTAACCATTTAGCCATAAACCCCAGTGACTAGCAAAGATTTACTAAGCAGGATTTTGGGTGCATGCAGCATGAGCAACAGTTGCACGCTGCCAGCAAAACCACCCGCATTTTGCCACTTCCCATGTCTGCTTGGAAAATAAACTAGACACTCACCACTGCTGTGTCCCTTATATATTGCTGATGTTATACATTTTACGGTGATTATCTCATTTTGGCAATATTTTACATAATTTCTTACTGACCTTGCATGTCCAGTTACACACTGTATTTAAAACTGTACATAACTGTACTGCAGTTCCACTAAAATATATCCGTTGGACTCTTCTTTACAGTGTTATTAGAGATCCCCAACATAAATATCATATGCACTTGTTAAAAGTATTGAATCTGTATTTACTCAATATAATGAAAATCTGTGGTTTTGTAATGCTTTTGTTAACGAACTAATGTTTTGTTTAAATGTGTAAATTTGTCCTTAATTCTGTCCTGATGGATCATGTGAAATCTTCACCAGACTTGTTATTTCGGCAAGAATACACACAAAATGAGTTGGTGAACATGTAATCCCACATGTATTTCCTCTTTCTATCTCTCTCCCTCTCTCTCTCTCTCTCTCTCTCACACACACACACACACACACACACACACACAAACTGTTTACTGTCTTCCTATCGTAACTCTTATTCAGGGTTAGGCCTGCAGCCTGGCAGCAGGAGCAAGTCTGAGTTTTATTATACGCTAAATGGCAGTTCGGTTGATCACCCTGCCCAGTCCAAAGCCAAAAGCACATGGTACATAGATGAAGGTAATCAATAATCAATACAGATGGAAGACTGGGAAACTCTACAAATAAACATCTTAACAGCAAGGTGCCTTCCTGCTAATATCTTGCCTAAAATTAGCCCACACTCAACTTTAGTTACTTTTAATAGTCTTGGCATGAATACGTAATCACATGTTAATCAGTGCATCAGCAGTGATTTGAAAAGGCAACTTGCTGCTGAGATCTTTTATTAGGAGTCCGGTTCACTATGACATGAGTGGCACATGACCTCATAGCATGACATCATTGATCAGAAATCAAACATCTCAGGTGTCATTCTGAATGTTCTGTACTACAGTCATTTGTGTTTGCACATTCAGTTTTCAACTAAATGTAGTTATAAGGCAATGATTAAGTTATGAGTAATTAATGACTATGAATAATGAGTAAATGAGTAATTAATTTACTCACGTTGAAGTCAGTTAAAGTAATTGCTGGTATTTATTTTGTATTTGTGATCTTTTTTTATAGAAAACTGCATTAATTTGTTAATTGAAGCACACATAGAATGCTTAGAATTTGTGGCCAGTTTTATGTATGATTTGTGAAAGCCTTTTATATTTTGGTATCAGGCATACTTGGTATATCTCCACTCATCCATTGTGTAATTGTGTGTTTGAATGTGTGTGTGTGTGTTTGCCATTGAACACAGACTGTATTCCTTATAACATTGCTTTCATCTGTGTAATAATTTCATATTTCATGCCACTCTTTACTAACATGCACTGTTGAAGAATGTTGCAGGGGTGGTCTGTGATTAGTTAAGGGGTTCATATTGTGTGGCCTGTGCTGCTTTCATTCTCATTCACCAGGCTGTCATTCTTCCAGTGGTGACTTTTTGTAGCCCAATGATTCATGAAATTCTCATTTCATGTGTATGCTTCAGTGAGGAGAAAATCACTAATCAGCTTTGAAAGGACATCATGTTTTGGTTAAGCTTTTTTAGTAAACACTACCGTTCAAAAGTTTGGGTCAGCAATATTTTTATTTTTTTGCTTTTTAACAAGGATGCATTAAATTGATCAAAAGTGACAGTACACACGCACACATATATAAATATATAATATTTATATTTCAAATAAATGCTTTTTTTTTTTACTTTCTATTAATCAAATAATAGATTTTTTTGGGTGTTTTCAATATTGCTATTAAGAAGTGTTACTTGAGCACCACATCAGCATAGAGTGATTTCTGAAGGATCATGTGACACTGAAGACTTTAAAATGTATTCAGATAGGAAACTGATATTTTAAAATGTAATAATATTTGGCAATATTACAGGTTTACTTTATTTTTGATCAAATAAATGCAGCCTTGGTGAGCATAAGAGACTTCTTTCAAAAACTTTACAAAAAAAAAGAACCCCAAAATTTTGAACTAAATGCAGCCTTGGTGAGCATAAGAGACTTCTTTCAAAAACTTTACAAAAAAAAAGAACCCCAAAATTTTGAATGGCAGTATATTAATGTAAATCACCTTAATGACAGATGATTGTTGAAGATGCTCTTTTGAAACATTATCTGTGAATCCATTGAATCCATTTATGATGACGTCAACTGATCAGTTTATATTGGTTAAACAATTTCTGGTCCTCCACACTGATGCATCATCTGGTTATCATGACCTCTAGGTACAGCCTCTTATTTCTTTGGCTTTGTTTCTTGATAGTCGGCGAGGACCCGGCCAAATCCCTGACGGACACCCCCCCAGACTTCAACCCAAGCTCGTCCCCTTCTCGAGCTCCGCCCATACCCTCCTCACTGTCCAATGATAACAAGTTCCACTCCCTGCCCTTTAGCTTGAGCCACAAAGTTGGCCCCAGTGGGAGCATGAGCCACGGCCCTCTCTCCCTGTCCGCTGGCTCAGTGATGGGGGAGCAGCAAGAGGTCCTGCCACCTGCTACCACTCCTGTCCAGAGGCCTCCGTCGCCAACACAAAGCCAGCCAGGGTTAGAGGTCGGGTCATTGGTGGAGGTTAAAGAGAACCCACCGCTGTGTGGGGTCATCCGCTGGGTTGGTCTACCTCCAGGACTTCAAGAGCCGCTAGCTGGGCTAGAGCTGGTCAGTAGGTTTATGTGTGTTTGCTGTACTGTAACTATAAGTTAATATAAATGCACCACCATTTAAACATTTGTGGTCAGTGAGGTTTTTTCTTCAGACATTAATACTTTTATTCAGCAAGGATCAAAAGCGACAGTATAGACTTTTACATTATTACAATAGATTTCTGTTTTAAATAATCAAGAATCCTGAAAAAAATGTTTCACAATTTCCAAAGCAAAACTGTTTTCAGCCTTTATAATAATTAGAAATGTTTCTTGAGCACCAAATCAGCATATTAGAATGATTTCTAAAGGATCATGTGTACTGAAGATTGGAGTAATGGCTGATATCACAGGAATAAATTAAATTTTAAAATGTATTAAAAAAAAAATTTAAATTTTAATATTTCACAATATTACTGTTTTTACTACATTTTTTGATCAAATAAATGCATCTTCGGTGAGCATAAGAGACTTTCAAAAACATTTCAAAAATCATACTCTGTAATGATGTGTTTCTTTTGTGTGTGTTTAGGAGGAGGAGTGTGTGGGCTGCACTGATGGAACGTTTAAAGGGATTCGTTATTTTACGTGTCCACCAAAGAAAGCTCTGTTTGTCAAACTGAAGTGCTGCAGGCCTGACTCACGATTTCCATCCTTACATCATTCACCCAACCCCATAGAACGATGCAACTCCATAGGTAAGAAACACACTTTAATTGTCAGAGTCCATGTTCCTATGCTTATGATAGGCCTACAGTAAACCAGATTCAGGGATATGTGATGTTAATGTCCAGTGCTGTACAAGCTTTATAAACAGCATTTGCAGCATAATGTTGATTTATCTTAAAAAAAAATTTTTTTTTAAGAGCAAAAATTGCAGTTACATTAACACTCTTCTTAATTTTCTGTGTTCTGCTCTGTCTAGTGCATAATTGAAAGCACAAGCCTGTAAAAATATACTCTGTTGACCCTGAACGTAGAAAGACACATTCTGCTTGTGCAAAGTATGCACTTTGTTTTTAAGGCTCAGATCACTAGTACATACTGATGATGTGATTTGATCAGGTGGAGCTGGGGAAGGTGGAGGGTTTCAGAGAAACTCTGAAAGCGCGCTGCAGGAATCTCTAGTGAATGCTAGCCAGCCATATAAATGCAAGGCAGTAAGCTCATTGGCTGCATATGCAGCATGAACCAATCAGCTTGTGCCAAGTAGTTTAACTCTCTGAATATCATCGGTTACGTTAACAACCAGTCAGCCTGCGTTTCATGACTGAACTATGTATTTATACTGTACAAACCGTATATTCTCTCACCCTACACCTAACCCTACCCCTCACAGAAAACTTTCTGCATTTTTACATTCTCAAAAAAACTAATTCTGTATGATTTATAAGCTTGTTTCCCCATGGGGACCTCAGTTTAGGTCCCCACGGTGACACGAGTCCCTGTGAGTTGGTGTGTATTCAGGTTTAAGTCCCCACTGGGATAGAAAAACATGTACACACACAAACACGTGTTTACACAGTTAAGTGCAGGAATTACTTTATGCATTACACATTACATTTGTTTAAAACTACTGCATTGCATAAATTTGCATAAAAGATGATTTCTTAATGTTAAATTTGTAAATATTCTTCTGTCTCTTTCTGTGTGTCAGTCTTTTCTCCTTTAGTTCTGTGTTGGATACGGTGCTCCTGAGACCAAGATCTAAGACTGATGTAGAATATTACAAAGAGACACAAGACTTACTGCGCACAGAAATAGTCAACCCACTGCGAATGTGAGTGGCACAGAATGAAAACATTCTACAATTAAGCATTCATCCAAATATTCCCTTTTACTCATTCTCTGTGACAGAACTGGTTGTAATCTTTTATTAATCTGTGTGAATTTGTTAGACATGGCTACGTGTGCGCCACTAAAATCATGAAACTTAGGAGGATATTGGAGAAAGTGGAGGCAGCGTCAGGATTCACTTCAGAAGAGAAAGGTGAGAATAGTCTCAGGCCATGTCCACACACGTACACGGGTATTTTTATAAACAGAGTTTTTCCTTCTTCCGTTTTAAAAAAAATCTCCGTCCACATGAAAATGCAAACTCATGCTATGAAGCACTGTCAAGAGCATGCGAAACCAACAGGTGGTGATATAATCTCAACCATAAAGCCATGTCTTAGATATGTTCAACACCAAAAAACAACAACATTATATAAAAAAAATAAAAATAAATAAAAATAAAACTTTCAGGATGATCTACATATTAACTACAAAAAAATTGTGAGATGAATTATAATAAATTATTTTAATTTGATTGATTGCCATAGTATTATCTAAATGTGTTACAGTATATCAAAGCTTCTGTGTTGAGTGACATAGCAAGGCATTCTCTTTTTGTTTAGATCCTGAGGAGTTCCTCAATATCCTGTTTCATCACATCCTGAGAGTCGACCCTCTTCTCAAGCTTCGGTGCGCCTCTCACACTTTTCAAATCCATGCTAGAATCAGCATTCTCGGGAGCTCCACAAAGCTATTATCAAAGAGTGGTGTTTTTGTCTTTGTAAAAACATGATTGTATCATTTGCAGGTCTGCAGGACAGAAGGTTCAGGACTGTTACTTCTATCAAATCTTTATGGATAAGAAAGATAAAGTGCTGGTGCCAACCAGCCAGCAACTTCTGGAGTGGTCCTTCATCAACAGTGATCTCAAATTTGCAGAGGTATGTACACAAGACATGCTCTGGATCTTTCCTCTGTGAACAACATAATTAGTGGAGAGGCCACTTTCACTTCCATGTTTTATTGTTCTTTACAACATATTCTTTTATTTGGCTATAAAAAAAAAACAAAAAACATTTTAAATCTTTTTTTTTTTTTTTCATATGTGCTGTATATATTTGGGGTTGGTAAGATGTAATGTTTTTGAAAGAAGTCTCTTATGCTCATCAAGGATGCATTTAAACAAAAAATCTAAAATAAAGTAAAAACAGTAATATCGTGAAATTGTAATTTAGATTCTTTGAATAGGAAGTATAAAAGAACTGAATTTTTTTTAATAGAAACCTTTTGTAATATCTTAAATGTCTTTACTGTCACCTCTGATCAATTTAATGCATCCTTGCTAAAGTGAAAATTTGAATTTTTCCCAAATAAGCACATAGAAAAAACACACAATTAAAAGAGAATTAAAAGATGCATTTAGAGGAGAATTTACACATCCAAATATGTTGGTTAGTGTGGTGCAAGGACAAATGAAGTGTACTGACATGTTCTTGTCTGTTTGTTTCTGTCCAGGCCCCTTCTTGCCTTATAATTCAAATGCCTCGCTTTGGGAAGGACTTTAAGATGTTTAATAAGATCTTCCCTTCTCTGGAGCTTGACATCACCGATCTATTAGATGACAGTGAGTCAATTCAGTAACTGATTTGATTTGTGCTGGTATTAGAATAACATTCCACATACCAAAGTAATGTATCTGTGTTTGAGATAAAGAACTAATATTATTGTAATATGCATCATTCTGGCTGTGCTTCATTTTTTTCTGTGTTTAAAGGAAAATTATATAAATGTTTTTGTCAGCTCCTAGAGAATGTCGAATTTGTGGTGGCTTAGCTCTTTACGAATGCAGAGAGTGCTATGAAGATTGTGACATCACGCCAGGAAAGATCAAGCAGTACTGCGAGAAGTGCAATACACAGGTAGGACACAGACACAAACATGCTCTTCTAGCTCTAAGAACATTCTGTTATCTTCTCTGCAATACATTTCATATCCACTAGATGGAGACTTTTCCAAATGAATAATGCTGAAACACTCTTATCCATAGTAGTTGCTTTCAGTGGTTAAATATACATGATTGTGCAAATTTATGTGTACATGTTTTTTCTGTATATGTGTTCACTTCCTGCAACTTTAGGTACATCTGCACCCACGACGTAAGTCTCATCGGTATGTTAAGTTATCTGTCCCTAAAGAGCTACATGAGTCAGTTTGGAGACAGGGATCTTACCCTCACCAGCAGATGGAGCTGTTTGCTGTGCTCTGCATTGAGACAAGCCACTATGTCGCCTTTGTCAAATACGGATCCGCAGACTCGGCCTGGCTATTCTTCGATAGTATGGCTGACCGTGATGGTACAGAGGACTTTTTATCTAATATAATTTCTATATAATCTAATATAAATGTAATAAAACTCTCACTTCTTGAGTCACAATAATAAATAGACTCACTATTCTTTAATTGTCAACTTTTTTTTCTAACTCCTTTTTTCTGTTTTTGGTGGCAGGTGGTCAGAACGGGTTTAACATCCCACAGGTTTCCCCATGCCCTGAAGTAGGGGCCTACCTGAAGATGACCCCGGAGGAACTCCACGCACTGGACCCCAAGAACATCCAGGGCTATGCACGCAGACTTCTCTGTGACGCCTATATGTGCATGTACCAGAGTCCCACCATGAGCCTCTATAAATAGAGAAGGAGGAATAAAGAAGATGGAAAGGTAGGAAAGCGAATGGCAGAGAGATGAGGGAACAAGGGAACAGAGGAAAGGGGCTGTAGTGAAGAGAGAATGAGGAAGAAAAGAAAGAAGAAAAGTGCCCAAGAAGACGCACTTGAGATTGAATATCCCACATCCAGTTACCTCATCCTCTCTTCTGCATCTCTCTGTACATACTGCAGGGTAAATACGGTCATGAGAGTGAAGGCAAGATCAAGAGAACGAACAAAAAAGCCTATTTGCACTGTGTGAGAGCATATGTGTTTGTGTGTGTTTGTTGAAGTGTTGTTGTTGTTTTCTCTGATTTGTGCCGTCTTTGGCTCAGCTCAAACTCTTGAGTGTTCAGAGCGGTGTTTTGCACGGAGAGAATTCGCAATCTTTCCAGCCCTCAGGTGTTTCGCAGACGCTCACTCACCTGATGGCTTCACATTCGCTACGTACCGCCAGAACTGACCCCTCCAAACAGCAACACATTCTACCCCTGTTAATGAAACCTTGGATGAATGTCCAAAACAGGATGTTTCTGTTCTGTCTGAATGCCTCCACTCATCACCAACCCATTTTAATGCACTGCAGTGTCCAGCATTAATTATAGTTCAGACGCACTGTGTGTAGTCCCTGTTTTTGCCTTTGTATTTTGCTGTGAAGTCTTTGTCTGGTGTGTTCACATACAGCAGAGCCCTTGACTGCCATGCACGGGTTCCAGATCAAGACAGAAGAATGAGATGATTAAGCACAGGTTTTTTTTTTTTTGACATGAAGAATTATATAATTGAGCATTTTCTTGTTAAAATAGGAATTATTTAATTTTATTATAATTTTTTTTTTTTTTAAATTGCAAAAAAATACTAGCAACTCCCCAGGCCATGCTCTCAAAGTCATAAATTAGCTGTAAATTACTTCCTATAGATACAAGCCAATTTTTGCAAGTATTATGATAATATTATGATATTCCAAAGGTTACTGCTTTGCAGTCAAGGTCGTGTTCATGTTATAAAAAACTGATTCTAGTTCCTGTTTGTATATGACATGCTCTGGTTTGAGTGTTCACGGCTGAGGCTGAATGGACAAGAGCTGTTTTATGCTAAACTGCAGTGCTGATGGCTAATTTGCAGAAACACTGTTCATCGAGATACTGGTTTGATGTACTGTGCACATTTTTGCTATGGGTTATCGGATTGTTTACACATCCTGGTTTAAACTAAAGAGTTATGAAAATAAACTTGCATTGGGATCGTTTTGTAATCTCTGCTGATGTAACTGTACACTATGGGAGAGATTCTTCGTGAGCGACTGTAATGGGAGAAAGAATGACGACTGGTGTACTTGTGTAAAATGAAGCCAGGTGGACTTTATTATATCTGTGCTGTTCTCTTAAATGTTAACTAAATTAAAACGCCATTTTGAAAACAGCTTTTGTGGTAATGGCTGCACTGCTTTTGATTTGCTCATTTGGGATTGTTTGTTAAAATGTGTTTGTTTTTTTAAATAGAAGTGAAGACAAGCAAGAGGAAGGAGTGCAGTTTGTATGTGTGTGTGTGTGAGTAAAGTGAATATTTACCTCGAAGTTGACAGATGTGCCACCAAGCTGTGAAAATCTCTGTCTTCGCATGTCACTGAGATGTGTGCAGCATTTGTGCTTTGATGCCAGCAGTGTTTTCATCTGCCACATGTGTGAGTGTGTGTGTGTGACAGTCTTCAGCAGGCAGACGGACGAGGTGTGTTTGGATGTCCATTGCCTTCAGTGCTGTCATAAGTCTGTGAGTGTTTGTGTGGGGATTTTTCAACTGCCAGCGGTGCTGCTTTCACCTGTCACCTGTGTGGATCCCATTAACATGGTGTCACGACCAGGGCATGATGTGGTCTCGGACGCAAACACTCCAATGCTGGAAAGATGGGGCTGATCTGTAGTGAAGGCTCAAAAGCTAGAGACACAAACACACACACACACACACACACGCACGCGCATGCCACATCTAGTCTTCACCCCTGATGACCTCATATGGTCACGGCCATTACATGTTCAGTTGTACCAGTAGATGAGGAATATCAATAAACAACATGTACTTATTGTGGCTTTAGGTGTATGATTTGCTTTAGTGTTAGTTACTATAATGGATAATTTACTCTTATTACTATAATACATGTTTAAGAAGGACACATTTAAATAAAATGCTACCAAACTTCCCAAATCGCTGATTGTCCACTGTACATTTGGATATTCATAATAGGTCTGTTGGCGCTTTATAAATCATGGGTAACACTTTACAATAAGGTCTCATTTGTTAACATGAATTAATGCATTAACTAACATGAACTAACAATGATATAAACTTTTATTAAACTTTGTTAATGTTAATACAATATTTAAAAATATATTAGTAAATGTTAAGATGAATAAAAGTATTGTTTATTGTCAATTCATGCACTGTACACAAACATTTTTCAAAGTTCTAAATAAAACTGATTATAGGAGTACATTTGCAAGAAAATACTATTTCAGTGTTTGTACCTCAAAATTTCACTTATATGTTACTTGCCATTACTTTGTAATTATTTGTGAATTTTACTAGCTATTTCTTTGTGAAAATGGTAATGTTGTGTTTCTACAACATTTTTTTTCCAGCATGTTAACTAATGGTAACAAATAAATCCTTGTTGCAAAGTGTTACCAAATAATTTTTCTCCCCCCAAAAAAAGTCATGCCTGCGAACTGCACAATTGTCATGCTAGTATTTGTCATCAGAACCGCTGGCACACAATGCTCTCATGTAGCTTTATGCTGTGGCGTATGCCTGCTGTGTGCCACGTGCTAATTTCTCCTACGTTGGCACTACCTGACCAGATGGAGAACAGTATTGCCATGCTCACCATTAGAGCATAGCCTCGGTGGGTGAATGTCAAATAAAATCCAAGCATATGGATTCCTTCTCTGTCGACTTTGATTCTGATAAACAGAAGATCTGCTGTTGTCAGAGGTTTACTTCAGAGTCTCCCGATGAGTGTTCAGGAATGTAACGATTGGTTTTGTGTGTGCCTTTGCTATGTGGATGGAAAGTCCATGCTCTACACTCAAAAAAAAAAAAAAAAAAAATTGCTGCTTGTTGAATATACTTAATAAGCTAATGGAACACAGTTCTCAAACATTTTATCACCTTAATTTCATTGTGTGCAATTCACCTAAATTTGTAAAATAGAACTTTACTTAATCCGTTAATGCTGGGATGGTGAGAGGATTTCTAGTTCCCAGCATGCTATGCATGAGACTGGATGGGCAGGATACATGTTGAAATTAAGTGTTTTTAATGTGTTTTCAAGCGAGATGAAAAAGGGCAAAACTTATCTTGAGTTTTGGCAGTTACCATAGTGCTGAAAAGTGGCACTTGTGCTTAGGTTGAGAATGCTGGCTTGTGACTTGTATACATTGCTTTTCTCAATGAGCACTTGTACTCTATACACGGCCACTTTCACCTTTCCACTGCTATACTTTTGGTGCAGCGCAGTGTATGGAAAATGAGATCTTGAGTAAGTGTCCCACAACAGGACAAAGCAGGTATTTAAAACCTCTGGAATTCATTACTAAGAAGTTATGTTTACTAATATATATATGATTTAATATATAAAAAATAACTAATGAGGGTTCACTTCGCTTCACTTGGGTGTCTATTGTTTTTCAATAGTTCAATGGAACAGAGTAAATTATTTAGCTTAAACCACGGTTATGACACCTTAAGACATTGTTCAGATTTATTTCAAGTTTTTTCAGGTTTTCTCATACCAAGCCTCCATTTCTAATAACAAAACATTGTTTTAGAGCTAATAACTTGGTCACTAGTAACTTGTGTGGTTTTCAGTTCTTTTGCTGTTGTATGTTGTAAGGACCTTTGAAAGAATTTGATATAAAACTGTAATGTGGTTGACAGATCTGAAACTGCTTAAAAGCTGTGCATTTACTGCACACCTTAGAACCATCCAAGCAATCAACATCCATTTGAAAGTTAATAGGAATATGAAGAAAGAGTTTACTACTACTAAAATTTGCAGTGGGAGAATGCTATACCTCAAGCTCACATAACACTGTGATTTTAGTGGAAATACGTTGATGGGAATAGTCAGTAACTGTGCAGATATGACCTTTTTGGTATCCCCATGTTACATACAGTACAAAAAAAGTTTAGCATGCTTGTTTGTGTGATGCTATGCTTATTGATTCTCGCGATGCTAGCTTATTGCTATTGCTAGCTAGTTTTTATTTTTTATTTTTTTGAGCTGCTTTGACACTTCACACTCAATTTAGCTTTAATACAAAGTTGATACAATTCCATGTGAAGAAATCTCATTTCCAATATGTGGTACCACTGTCTACATTTAAATTAAGTTAAAAAAGATATTTTAGAGTGAATAGCAATAGTGATTTGAAGCTTCTGAGCTGCTGACGTGTTGACAAAAAGATAAAGTAGAGGCTTATGTTCCAAATGAATGAAAAGATACTCAAGAACACTGTGTGTAATTACACATCTTTCACAGGTTGACAAAAACTCAAGTTATTAGGTAAGGCCTTCTGTTTTGCCTATATCTTGTTTTCCATAGTGAGTGCACATGTCTGTATTCTGTGCATTTAGTATGGAAATGCACAAACATTGGCTGTGATTTGACAATAGTTTTCTGATTCACCGTCTAATTCTTTACCTATACTGCTAGTTAGTTGAAATTCACTCCTTGAGCTGTTTCTTCTCATGTTCCCAAGGGAAAACATCCACAGTGAGAGAGAGAGAGAGAGAGAGAGAGAGAGAGCTCAGACAACAGGAAAACAGTGATTTCCAGCAGTAAGATGAAAGCGAATCTCAAGACAGAGCAATTTAAAGCCAATCAGTACTAACCCAATATAAACCCGGATAATCACTTTAACTTCATCCTAACAGCAGCTTTTATTGGCCATCTTCAAAGCTCAAAAACTGGAGCAGGTAATGCTGGAATCATGACTGATGATAGCATTGCCTCTTCTTATTCGCCCTTCTTTAAACAGTCTCTTTGATTAAGTTTCATCTTGAGCTCTTAATGACCATCTTGATGTCTGTGATCAAACTTAGATCAAACTTTATCTGTATGTCATTTTAGTTGCAAAACACAGTCTTCACTAATCAAAGGGGAATTTATAAAGGTTTACGCACAGCAAAAGGTGTGAGAGAGGAGAAAAATACACATTGTGTGCTTTTCGATTAATACATTTTGGTGTGTATCTGTATAGTCATTAATGAGCTGTGCAGCAGATGCTGCTGTTGGCTCTGAAGAACAGGTGTTGCAGAGCTACATATGCAGCGTGCCTGTGTAAAATATTTAACCTCATAACAGGCAGCACACATGGTGGCATGTGTAAGGTGCTAAAAGCAGTTAGCATCGGTGTGCGACTTGTGGCAGGACTGGTGTGTCTGACTGCACACCTGCACACCCTTCATTCTCTCTTCTCTCCTTTCGTCTGTCTCTAACACTGCATTATTTACAGGTGCTTACTAGGACACAAGGAAGCCTTATGCGATTTTTTTCCCCCCACAAGTTCCAACTGCTAGTTTTTTATTTGTATAAATTTCATACTACCAAATTTTGGGATCAGTAAGATGTTTTTTTTTTTTTAAACATTAATATATTTATTCAGCCTGCATGCATTAAATTGACAAAAGGTAACTGTAAAGACATCTAATGTTACAAAATAACTTTCTATTCATCCAAGAACCCTGAAAATCCCTGGTTTCCACAAAAATATTAAGCAGCATTGATAATAATAAGAAATTATTCTTGAGCACGGATTTTGCATATTAGAATGATTTTTGAGAGATCATGTGACACTAAATACTGAAGTAATTGTTGAAAAAAATTCAGCTTTGCATCACAGGAATACATTTTAATATATATTTAAATTCAAAAAGTTTTCACTGCAAATAAATGCACCCTTTGGTGAGCATAAGAAACTTCTTTCAAAACATTTAAAAAACATAGACTCCAAACTTTTGAATAGTAGTCTATGTATATTTCTATTACAATTAATTTAAAGGGATGGTTCAGTGTTTTTTTTCTAGGCTTGATTGTGTCAGCTTCATACCTTTGCAGATATTGTTTATACTCAAACAGCAACATTACACACTAACGTTAAAAAAGTGAAATCGCAATGAACCACCCCTTTAATTGTAAAAACACCCAAAGGCTCCAATGTGGCAGACATCTCTCATGGTAAAACATCACGGTCCCTGTCTACAGCTACTTCACAATTCCTCCTTATGATACAAATTAGTGCGAATCCTCTATATATGAACCCTATGACCAGAATGAGTCCTCTATATGTGTGAATTTACATTTATTAATTTAGCAGATGAATGCAGTGCAGTATCTAGCATGCAGAAGCGGAGGACCACACAGG